GAATAATTGTACTCCAATGTTACTTTTATCCCCGTCGACCTTTAGCCCCTACGACTTTTCGCAATTTGGGTTTCATTGCTGCCGACTTGTCTTTTTAAGTTTTGCAATTTTTAACTAATGTTGCCTTTATCCCCTTCGCCTTTTCTGATTTTAATTATATGGCTGTCGACTTTTTCTCCCTAAGCCTTTTGTACTCTGACTTTTCCGATTGGATATTTATCCTATTCCACTTAGCGTCCTTCGACCTTTTCCGATCTGACTTTTTCCCTGCCGTCTTTTTGGCTTTTTCTTTTTCAACCTTTCTCCGAACCGTTTTTTGTCCTTCGACCTTTCTCCGATCCGGCTTCTGTCCGTGTAGATTTTATCCCTTTCGGTTGTTTCCGTTCGACTCTTTTCAATTCCGCCTTTTCAGTCAAGTTTTTGCCCGGGAACCATCAAGATAGGCGTCTCAAGATAGGTGACAAGCGTAGAGGTTTTATAATAGCACGTCATCGATAAAGTGCGAAGGGCGGCGGATGGTCATTTTCGTGTCGATGTCGACATCAGTCTGCTATCTGCCAGCAGGTGCCCTAAGTTGAGTGGGCAACCGTGGTTTTCAATTAGTTTCGTCTCGTTCATGCTGTTTACTTAAGTCAGACTTGTGAGGCTGTCTCACCAGCTGGAACAGCTCTGCCCCCCCCCCCCCCCTCAAACGCCTCGCTCCCGGTGCCGACGCTCCCTCACTCACGGCGTCCATGGCGTTGCAGCACGCGCTGTTGAAGAGCCAGGCGTACGGCTGCAGCGGTATGGTGAGCATCTACATCAGGGGCGGCAAGCCCGAGGCCACGGAGTTCTTCCGCCACCTGAAGCTGTTCACCATGGCCGGCAGTCTGGGCGGCTACGAGAGTCTGGCGGTCGGCCCGTGCGTACACCCCGGGGTGCCGCATGCAGCCTTTTCCGTCTACAGACGGGATATTCCGCCCAGCACGGCCCGGCCGCATCTCAGCGGCACATACCTCAGCAGCACGCACATCAGCAGCACACACCTCAGCAGCACACACCTCAGCAGCACGCACATTAGCAGCACGCACATCAGCAGCACGCACATCAGCAGCACGCACATCAGCAGCACACACCTCAGCAGCACACACCTCAGCAGCACGCACATCAGCAGCACGCACACCAGCGGCACACTCATTGCGTAAATCTTCAACCCGTCAATTATCACATGACCTCACGGAAAAGGCTCAAGAGCCAACCACTGTCTCGGAGAGTCTCCCAGACGAATGGGCTGTCAGAAAGGATTTGTGTGTGTGTGTGTGTGTGTGTGTGTGTGTGTGTGTGTGTGTGTGTGTGTGTGTGTGTGTGTGTGTGTGTGTGTGTGTGTGTGTGTGTGTGTGTGTGTGTGTGGTGTGTGTGTGTGTGTGTGTGTGTGTGTGTGTGTGTGTGTGTGTGTGTGTGTGTGTGTGTGTGTGTGTGTGTGTGTGTGTGTGTGTGTGTGTGTGTGTGTGTGTGTGTGGTGTGTGTGTGTGTGTGTGTGTGTGTGTGTGTGTGTGTGTGTGTGTGTGTGTGTGTGTGTGTGTGTGTGTGTGTGTGTGTGTGTGTGTGTGTGTTTAGCCGCTATTCAAAATGAGACGGAGGCTGCATTTCTTGAGATCCTTCCAGGTCCTTTTTGTCGCGGGGGTGTGCGAAACCCTAGCTCCCTATCTCGCCAGCTCGTTACACCAATACTGCAGCAACACCGCTGCCCATCTGAAACTGGCCATAGCGTAAAGGGTTCCCCACCGCGCTGTGGACAGCTTCCGCAAACGAAGCCACAGTTCACACAAGTTTAATCCGCGCTGTGTACACTTTTGGGACAGAAGTAATTTGACTCCACCGAATCGAACTTCCCATCAATGACTTAAAAAATCAAAATGAGATAGAAATATGTTTTAATTCATCTGCCTGTACGGCGCACCTGTTGTCTTTTCGCTTTTTGAAGCTATGGCTGTGGCGAATGGTGTGCGGAACGTTCGGAACGTTCGGAACGCAAGTCTGTCCCGAAGTCAGACCTAGCCGGCCGGCATCGCTGGTCCAGCTAACAGCCGCCCCGCGTCTGCCTGCAGGGTCTTCTCTACACACTCCAGCAACCCGAAGGAGGAGCTCGACTACCTGGGCATCACCGACAACATGGTGCGCCTGTCCGTCGGCCTGGAGGACCCCGACGACCTGTGCGCCGACCTGGACCAGGCCCTGAAGGCCGCCTGCGGCTCCGGCTAACGGCGCCGGAAACGTCGCATGTCCGTTTCCGACCGCACCGTGTTCGGACCGGGGCAGACAATGACACCGCGGCAGACGACACCGGGGCAGACAGCGACACCGGGGCAGACAACGACACCAGGCCCAGCCACTTTGTATCGCGACCATGGCGAAGGCGGCACGGTACCATGCATCCTTTTGAGACGAGCCGTATTTTCTCACGTGTCTGTGTTGTACTAATTCTAACCATTTCGAGACTTCGTGTATTAATTGGTGCGGTTTTCGGTGCAAATGTGTTTTTAGAATAACTCAGGAAACTGAGCTAGCAAACAGCGAATAGTATGCGGGAATTCAGCTATCGATAAAGCATTACTAAAAGCCAGATTTCTCGTAGAAAACCAGGAGAATGGCGGTATCCTGGAGATATACTAGATCTCCATTTTCCCACTTTTTCTACGAGGAATAAACCTATTTCTACTGCCTTGTATACATATAAAATGTTCCTCGCATAGGCCTTTATCAATCTCGTTGGTACCCCAGAATATACCATCATTGTATGTTTACACGAACAATCTGCAGATTATGCCATGTGTGATCTAGCTTGGCATGAAGATCTGTACTTTCCAAGCCTTATTTTACTTTCCAAGCCACGTATGTACTTTCCAAGCCATGCGTTGTTGGTGCTTTTCACCACTCATCCAGTAAACTGACGGTGTTTTTCGATTGATACAGTCAGTTGATACAGATACAGTTGATACAGATACAATCAAAAGCAATTCATCATGGCCTACACGATTCCCTCCCACAATGCTGGCTTTGCATCCAAGACGACGTAGCAACCAGCTCTGAACATAGCCTAATGATCAAAAGCCACGGATTACTAAATAAATACTCTAAAAAAGCGAAGAACTACATGGCTGTACAGCTATTACCATTTACTTCCTCTTGCGGAGATTACAATGCATGTGTTTGTATTGATGAGTGTTGCCGCGACCAGCATAAACCTACGAGGGACCAGCACGCCGAAGTAGTGACAGTTTTTCGTTCAGCAACCACAAATCTTCACGGAGTAAGTCAACCGGAACATCAATACATCGGCTGCTTGAAGGCCTCATTTACTGACGACTGTGACTGTAGGCAGTAATTCTGCCGAAAGCACCACAGAAACATCGTCAAGCCCTGGGAACACTGCACAAGACTGCCCGCAGGTCCTAGAGCCCGCCACGGCCGGGCGGCTGACGACGATGGAGTATGATCATCCGCCACTTACATGCCACTGCACTCAGTAGTGAATCAACTGAAAGCGAACACGCTATTTACCTTTGAATTTTTTGCAGTTGTATTTGTATTTGTGGATTATGTGCATTCACGTGACTGTACAGTTTTTACGCACTTCCGCCAAAATGAATGAAAACAGGCATGTCAGTCATGGGAAAAGGGACCGCACATAGATCACAAAATGTACAGATCCACACCAAGGTCGTCAAGTGGCAAAGCAGCCCCACAGAAATCCAAAGTATCATCAAGACAGCGACTACAGTGCAAAGAGAGGTGTGCCTTTTTACCAGTGACTAGAACTGTTATCATCACGAATGTAAGCCTCGCACCGCCGTGTGTTAAGATGCGTTTTAGGTTATGGCACGCCCAGCTGTGTCCGCTTCAGTGACAACTTATTGAATTTCCTTGTTTTCTTGCGACTCAGCAAATATTTCAGCGATGCAAAACCTTTTAATTGGCTCGAAGTTATCCCATATAATAAAACAAGTCCGAGACGTGAAAGAAATTTCCCACGTCCACTGATGACTCTGGCAAAGAAATTCAACAGTTTCTTATGCAGTGAAGTTGGATTTTTACAATGCGCTGTAATTGAAATGCATTAAGCTGTTGAGCTGGCGACCAAGGCGGTCACTAGTCTGCGCGACGACATATTTTGAAGCGTGCTTTGGAGTGTGGCGGATAGCTCAGTCGGGATTGATGATAAGTATTGTCTGTAGTCGTGTTTATTGATATAGAAGTGGTGTTTGATTAAGTATCAGCTTGGGTGCCTCTCTGTGATTCCCCCGATAATCCTTGCTATTGCTGGTACTACAGAAATTGGTCGCAATTGAAATGGGTGAATTACTTAGGTTGATTTCAGAGGCGCCATCACTAATGCACATTTTCAGTTTTTGACGAACATGTCACAACCACCTAGCTGTGGTCACAAGCCGATTCCGATGATTTGATAGGAAGCCACTGCGTACCAGAGATATCCAGACGTTACAGGAGACACGCCGGAGGAGCGACGGGCAGCTCGCGGCAGCCCGACGTCTGGTCGTGCATCTCGTGAAACTGGTGGCGCACTCGCTTCCGCGGGCGCACAGGCACTGACCAAAGGGCACTTGAATGCGTCGCGGTCCACATGTAGACACACAGTTGACGATTTATTGCTGCCTATGTTAGGTTCAAGGCAGCGCTCTGTCGCATATCACTCTGCAGTCACGTCGGATAGCAGTGCCCAACGCGTCTGGCCCGCGTGTTATGGCGTCTCGATTGCCATCAGACAAGGCTCCACGGCGGTGATCCATGAGATAGCTAGTCGTGTCTGACACAAACAGCGCACCCGAAGCCATCTGGCCGATGCGACAGCGTCTAGGTGATCGATAAGTGGAGATATCAATGCACCCCATTTATCAGACGTCACGGGCTGAATAAAACAAGCACGCCATTTGAAGCAAATAGTTTTCACGAGTCCCAGCTGGTATCACATCCTGGGCCCGTAGATACTCGAAGCTCCCTTGCAACTCTTTTCTTGAAAAAAGCGCATACTCCTGTCATGGTCCGACACAGACTCTTGGCCCAGTTCTCGCGCCGGCCGACCGGGTCACAGGTTGCGCCGGATTAACCTCACCTGGCGTCACCAATCACAACGTTCCACGTAGTTGCGTGATAGTTGAGTTTCACCCAATCAGAGACCTGCTCTGGTCACTCCAGGTCCACTTGCGGGACGAGACAGCGCCTGGCGCTGGTCAAGTCAACGAGACAAAATAACGTCAACACCCAACATGGAGATCAATTAAGGTGGTCAAAATCTAGCCTATCCAGACAGCATGTCGTGATAGCTAACGATTTCGGATTGATTCTAGACACTTCATAAGAGCTCGAGCATAATCAGAGGGGCCGTGAAGGCCACGCTGCACACCACCACGACAGTCCCCACCAGCCGGAATGGCAATGTCCGGGTGATTCGCAATTTAAGTCGAATCTAACGCTCAAGGTCGCCTGAATCAGTTCCAGTTGGACCAAGAGTGCTTCCTGGATGTCTGCAAACTTGATGTCGCACATCGATTTGCGGCGGCGCGGCCTTCAAGCCAGACGAGCTCGACGTTTGATGAGCCAGTGGTGCGGGCACGTCGATGATCTTGACCTTAACCGCGACGCGGACCGGTACGGTGACTCTCTGCGCTTTTTCGGAGGAGAGCTGGAGCTGGGTCTCACACGATGAAGACCCTGATGCTCATCAACGGTTAGCAATCGTGGAGAGACGTTCGGTGACGGCTGCGTGTCACTCATTGGTAACGCATCGTCCTGATGAAGGTTAGGAAGCTTTACACGAAGATCTGAAAATTTCAGCTGCAACGATTGAATATGAATCTGGCTTATTTGGAATTCGTTGTGGCTAGAATAACCTTCAGATCTTCTCCACCTGGGGGCGCCACTGCTACCGAACAGGGGCGACGCCACGAGCAAACCACTGAACGACGCAGGGCGAGCACATCCCTCTCAACTCTGGAGATCGTGGACTTAAGCTGGTGCTTTCAACGGAAAATATGTTGGGGTCAGTGCTCGGCATCACGAGACATGCAGCATACAAATCAACAACTTATTCTGGTCTAATGCGTTCCAGCATACTTCAGACTCCTCCGCCCCGCGTTTGACGTTGCGCTGTGCTACGCCGCGGCGAAAACACGATAACAAAACGCATCATCACTACATGGCGCCCAGTCGACCGTGGCTCCGGGGTGACAATTCGCGGTTGTGGAAGTGTGACACGGACGCGTGCCACGCCGGGCGCCTCGCGAGCCGGGGCCGCCTCCTCGCACTGCCCCGCCGTCCCAGCTCGTATGTTCGGAGCCGGCCGGTGTCGGTGGGGCCCGGACCAACGCGCCTCGGGCCCGATGCAAGGCCATGCAGTCCGGCACGCTCGGTGGCAAGGACGGCACGGCGCCACCGGCCTGTCCTGCCATCTCAATCAGCCGGCGGCGGCCCGAGACAGCGGCAGCGGGCGGAGCAGCCCGGCAACAGGCCACAGTGGGGCCTGTCGCCAAGGTGAGGGGCCACGAGCACAATATGCGGGACCAGTCTGTCTCGCGCCCGTTATTTATTATCCACATAAGACTTTGCACAGATATATCAGGCCATAGTCATTCGCAGCCCGAAGGCTTTTCTCGTAGCCAAGGCTGCGAGAGAGCTCACGGCCATTGTGGAGCTCTTTACTAGCAAGGATACCGGGCCTATACCCCTCGTTCAAGTCATCACCAAGACAGTGGCGTCCTTCAATGAAAATCCGGCACTGCATCCCCCACAACCATCTCCTCTCAGCTTCCCAGCAGTGTCCATTCTCATCACTCGACGGAAACCGCGTCGGTTTCCGTCTCCAACGGATCCTGGCCGCCAAGGAAGTAGCGGTGGTGAAATTGCTGTACGTGATTAACCTTAGTGAAGAATTTGCCGTTGTTGAACAAAGTTTACTAATTCGTAAGTTGAGGCTGAGACGTAAGCATTGTGCTGAGACCCCCAGTTGTATTGTATTGTATTCGTTTTCGGCCTGTCTGCAGAGCACACTCAGATTGTGCCTCTCTACGATGTGAGAAAACCCACGGTGACCTCGCTGCCGCTTCCAACAACGCGAGCGGCTTTGGGGGGTTAGCTTTTGGATCACTGCTCTTTGCAATACTCTACAATGACCTAGCATAATTCGCAGCTGGTGCATATTTTTAGCATGACGTAGACACCCAAGTTTGGTGAGTGCTAGGAAAGAAGAACTACGGGTCCAAATCTCCCGCATGGAAACATCCCTCGAATCACTGTGTAGATGGTACGCATAAGGTCTCTAAAAGTCAATGCAAACAAAATGCAGCCGATCACTGTCAGGAGCTGGGGAAACTGCGTAGCCCTCAAAACATTGCGGTCAGTTTGCCTGCTGCCACGTCAGAACTAACCATGCGAGACGGGGGGGGGGGGGGGGGGAAGCGGATGTCGCCTTTGACCTGGTCGGTTCAGTGGCGCATATATATATATATATATATATATATATATATATATATATCACTGCTGAGACGTTATAACGGCATTTTGGCAGGACTGTCGCATGTGCGTCCCAGGATTGTAAAGGCTGTCATTGCTAGCTCAATCACCTCGCCTTAGCTCTGTTGCATTTCCGAAATTGCGTTTCGGTCTATTCGAAAAATTATTTGGACAGAGCTCAGAATTTTTTCTTGCGATGCAAGAGCCATGTTCGCGACGGCCACCCAGTGGACCTGCGTGAGAAGCTAAGGTAGTTCACTGCACTGCAACTGGCGCAACCACAGCCTAATTCATTTCACGCAACGAGTTTTGACTGATGTACACCTCGACGCTCTGACTCCCGGGCTACTCGTCAATTGCAGCATGGAAGATAGAACGACCAGGCAGTACAAGCTGCATCTCCCTGGGACGCATACTTGGGCTGGAACTAACCGGTTTGGATGCCAAATGCCGGCCATTCACAACGGGCTGGCAGACTATGATAAAAGCACTGCCCTGGCACTTTGCCCGGGCTGTCACGATCACACCCAGCAGTAGCTGCTGGCTGCGGGTCGGGTGTGATAATGATAATATGCCTTACGATTAGCCCAGCCGTATCTTATCCTACGTGCGTGGGCTGCGATTCCGCGCATGGGGCTCGGTCAGGATGTGTTTGAACCAAATCTCATGACTTCATCTCTAGGCTGTAAAAGTGACGCGCTCGTGTGGGTTGACGATTATTGAGTGCCCGGAGTTCTAGCGCACGCTGCCGGCGGTCACTTCGCGCCTATGACTTGAGTTAAAAATGCGACGTCTAACTAAAAGGGCGAACCAGTAGCTGACACTGAACGTCTTTCAAGAAATGAAAACAACTGACCGGAGTTTAACAAGGAAGAGACGTTCACCCGGTCTCTAGACGACAGAGGACGAGATCGTCTACATGGTGCGCTCGCTGCTCGTCTCGCCGCCGCGTCAGCAGCTCGCTGCCCATGCTACCCGCGTGGCTGGAGATGTAGCGGAGCAATACCACTTTCCCCAGCGCCATCAAGGGTGGTATGGCGCATTAAAATGCATTACATGTGGGGACATTATGAATGCAAGCTCTTGGGCGCTAAAAGGATGCTTAGCGAATCAGGCAAAATCGAATGTGCCTCGTAACCAGCCTCAGTGAAGGAGGGCGCCTTGATTATGGCTACCAGCTCGCCTGTATACACCCAGGTGTGCGCAGGCAATGAAACGTTCTAGTCGCGGCGCCTACACACAAATGCAGGTCCGACACCCGTCTCCATCTGTGAAGTGGCGTGCTATCCTAAATATGAATTGGTTGGTTTTGAAGCTTTGGCCCCAAAGTGACAAGGGATTATGCCCCGTTATTATAGTGCATAGGAATATATCCTTTCTATATGATAAAAAGGATATATGATATCCTTTGACATATATATATATATATATATATATATATATATATATCACTCGACGTGTATCTTATATATGATATATGACATCCTTTGCATGTGATATTGCATAGGAATTTATCCTTCGCGGCGAAGTAGCCTTCACGGTGGAGTCATCTGGTGACGAAATCCTGAAGCTCCTACGCCTACCGATACCGCTTCCAGGGAACAAGCTTCGTCTCTGCACAAAGAAGGGGCTGTTGGCGTTCGCTCTGAAATAAGGCCACGGTACGGCTTGAACACGTTGCCTTACATTTCGGGTGGTTGATGGACTGTGCCAACTTCCATACATAACGCACCCCAAGCGTCTGCCTCCTGAGTGACAGCAGTGGCCCGTTCGCCTCCAGCGGAAGGCTGACGGCTGGAGATGTCCTGAAAGAACCAGTGACAAGGCGGAGCGCAGTGTATTGCAAGGTGTGCAACTGACGTTTGCGCGAGCTGAACGCGCGGTAATGGATAAATTATTCGTGACATAGCTGAGCGTGCTGTCATGGATGAACTATCCATAGTCGAGCTGAGCGCACAGCCACGGATAATGCACCCAAAGTCGAGCTTAGACCGAATTAATGAATACTAAAGCGGTAAAAGCGTCGCTCCGTTCATTCTAAAACAGGCCAGATACTCCTATGGTGAGCTAAGCGATCATTGGCAGTAGCTCTAAATTCTTATCTGAGCCGTGTGCTGAAACTCGATGCCTCGTGGAGCCATAAACACACGAAGCACACCTGCCGTTCGGTTACCCTTAAGAAGACCCCGCTACCAGATCTATCCCGAGAGCACGACTGCACTCGTCCTTGACTGGCGGAAGTCAGAGGACCGTGGCCTGCAGTATCTGCTTCAACATCCCCCACACGTACGAATACGAGCCTCCAGGAACCGCAGCTTAAGCTTCCTATCACGCAGTGTTTAAATTGTGCCCACCTGTCAACCTCTCGTGTAAATAAAATGCCTGAAGGCCGCTTTATAGCTGATGGCAACATTCGAGCGCGTCGCGCGAGTTTACATCTGCTTGCTGACAATGGAGGGTGCACTACTAGGTGGGCTAGCCGGACCCCCAAGCGCCTGCGGACAGGTTCCCGCATTGTTTGTAAACTCACATGCTGACAGTGGCTGGCGCTGGTGTAGCTCCTGGACCGATGGGTGGGCCCAAACTTCAGGCTCCCAGGAATGTCTGTTCGCAAACTGGTCGGAGCACAGGGAAGCTCGCCATCACAAAGGTACCGATTGGGCGTTTATGACGTCACCAACACGTTGGCGAGCTCGACTCGTGTCATAACATGGCCAATCCACCGGGGCCCGGAGCGGACCGGCTGCAGACTGTCGCTGACAGAGGCCGTCACGCAAAAGCCCAATGCCTTAGTTTCCCTGTGTACCTGAGTGGCTGTTCAGACGCCGCGACTCAAATAGGAGGCGCCACCTTCTCATCCCAGCTCTAACAGCCATCTGTTGAGGGACTGCGCCACGCCGTGGATGAACGGGCACGACCGGGGTTGACCCGCGCGCACCGGGGCGCCGCCGGTCCCCAGTGTCACGAGCCAGGTTGACCCGTGCGCACTGAGGCGCCGCCGCTCACCGTGTCACGAGCGAGGTTGACCCACGCGCACCAGGGCGCCGCCGGCCGTGTCACGAGCCAGGTTGACCCACGCGCACCGGGGCGCCGCCGGTCACCGTGTCACGAGCGAGGTTGACCCGCGCGCACCGGGGCGCCGCTGGCCACCGCGTCGCGACCGGGGCTGGCCCGCGTGCCGCCACTGTCACGCCGTGAACCAGGTTGACCCGCGCGCACCAGAGCGCCGCCGCCTCCGCCGCCGCGTCACGGCCCGTCATGCGCCGCCGGACCGCAGCAGCCCCGCCCGGTCATGTCGTCAGACGCGGCCGGCGGCGCCCACAGCCACGGTCAGACCGCGGACAGCTGTGGCGCAGCGTCACACAGGTGCGCAGGTGATCTCGAGCGTAGCCGCGACGAGCTGCTGACAGCGGCGCGCAGCTGCGAGCAGCGCACTCGGCTCAGGTGATCTCCGCTCCCCCCGCCGAACACAACACCAGCTCTGATGACCAAACACACCAGCTCAGGTGACCTCCCCACACATCGCTGGACACGCCAGCTCTGATGACTAAACACCAGCTCTGTTGACCAAACACACCAGCTCAGGTGACCTCCCCACACACCGCCTAACACACCAGTTCAGGTGACCTCCCCTCCCACAGCTCAACACAACACCAGTTTAGGTGACCTCCCTCCCACCGCCCACACCAGCTGAGGTGACCTCCCTCCCCCCCCCTTCCCACCGCCGAATATAGCACCAGCTTAGGTGATCTCCCCTCCCACCGCCCAGCACAATACCAGCCGAGAGAACTTCCCCTCTCGCCGCCTAACACAACACCAGCCGAGTAATTATAGTGGAGAATATTTATTCATTCTAATCAAACAATTTCATATACAGAATGCCAAACCGGAACACAGCGGATAATTCAAGATCATAAATATTGATAAAAGCCCACCCGATTGCAAGCCAAAGTAACACGATTCACACGGCCAGGAGCACGGCACTGGGAGCTCCGCGCGGCCGGGGCCGGTGTCTGGGCGGGCCCGACTCGCTGGCCCCACTGTCTCTGCCTCAGGTGCGGCCGCGCCGGCTGCGCCGGGCCGGTCGCTCGCGCCGGCCCGGCGGCCACAGCCAGGCGCCGCCCGGTCGCGCACTCGGAATGTCTCACACGTATCTCTCGCGTCAGTCGGCGGCGGTCGACGCCGGCGGCGGCGGCGGCCACTAGCGAGCGGCGCTCTTCAGCTGGTTGGAGAGCCAGTCGAGGCCCTCGTACAGGCCGTCGCCGGATGTGGCGCACGTCGCCTGGATGTACCAGTTGCGGTTCCGTAGTGAGTGCAGGCCCAGCTTGTCGGTGATCTCGGCCGCGTTCATGGCGTTCGGCAGATCCTGCACGAGGCGGGAGAGGTTAGCGCGAGCCCGTCACAGAGCGCGCAGCCACGGGCGGCCAGTTCTTCACGCCACCAGAGGTACTCCGGAACCCCGCAGCAGCGAACCACGGGGCAGCATACTCAGTCCAAAACACTGCGCAGCGAGATGTTTGCACTACGCGGCTTCTAGCGAGCTCAACCCGTCAATTTAATAAAAACGATGTTTTTCTTCTGTCAACAGCGTTTAAATCACCCCTGACGCTTCTGGTAGCCATCGTCACGTGACCCCACCAGTCGCCCAATGACTCAGCAAAAGCCAGTTCAAAGTAGCAGCCCTTCCGCTGAAGTCGATCAGCAATGACATAGAAACAAACAAAAACTATTAAAAATTGAAGAGCATGAAAGAGCGCCGATCTCGCCCAAACAAACAACGATCAAAAAGATATTGTAACTCAAAATACACCTGCGATCCTTGCTTCTAAGCAAACTAACCAACTGCCCCCCACCCCCGCGGTGACTGTGTGATCAACTGCCCTCCCCTGATCAAAGTCTAACGTGTTAAAAAATTTACGGGCTTCTCCCGGAGAGGTAGTCACTAGACGCACTAGAGATGCACCTTTTCCAAAAGTCAGCTGTCGGCCCTGACCGCCTCGGCCAGCCGGGGGCTCAGGCCGCAAAAGCCCGCTGTGCTACTGTGATTATCCGGCGTTAACCCAGATGTACTAAGTCAATTGCAATACCTTTTTGTCATCTCTCTTTAGTTTTAGCCCATGCATGAAGCATGCATAAATTGGCATGGCAGTCATCTAATGTACATCATTATTTGGCTAACACCAGCGACATTGCTTAGAAAGCTGTGGTCAAAGTGCCTGGGCCATGTAATTTATATTGTGTCAGAGTAGATCGTACGCACTGTGATGCCAGTTTCCAACAACAAGTGAGGACAGTGGAATTGGGATGAAAGGGATGAAAAACAGATCAGTTCATTTTCACTTATCATCGATACTACTTGTGTGGTACAGTCTGTACATAAGCAAGACAATTTGTGTAAAACACCCTCACAAGAACAGCCAAGCGCATTATGCGTGTTATGCAGCTGCTTTTATCATATTAGGTGCTCACCAGACTCATTCTCAATGAAATGAAGCCAAGTTTTGGAAACATGAGCTGTTATTCTTGAGTTGTTTTAAGACGGATAGTTGCTTAAAGCTGTTGAACCAATGCAAGCTGGTCAACTGCTGTTACGTCAGCCATGGATTTTCTGTCAATGCTGCTCTCGCTGCTGGAGTGAAAATAGTACTTTTTCATAATTATTCTGTGTTTGGTAGTATGCTGGCTTTGGGGGCGCTCTCGAAATTCAAAATTTACAAAAATCGCCTGTTTTGCTTCCTACCATGTTTACTTGCAAAAGCCCGCCAAACCTGGCTCACAATCCGGCCAAAGGCCCGTGGATTATTGCGGGTAAATGCTGGCGGGATGTCGGGACTGTGTATCTATTTTACACCAATCATGAGCTGCAATTACGGAGTTGCTCCGAGACACAGCTGCCTTGGCTCATCATGTTTAGAACTAGACAGGTACTGGACTCGCCCAGCTAGCACTAGCGGTTTCGATCACGCGACATTTGTTTTCAACCATGGTCACCATGGAAACCGGGGGCATCACAGACATCGATACCCCCTCCCCCTAATACACCGAAATTACCTCGCAACGCCTGTTGTTGAGCAGAAGAAAGGACTATAACCGCCCAAACGGGTAAGCCACACTGCGTCAATAGACCGTCGACGAACCCCGCCCGTCAGATCTCTATAAGAGCCAGCTCGTCAGTCCTCGGTGTGAGCCCCGCTCGCCAGTCCTGTGAGAGCCGTCCGTCAGTCCTCGGTGTGAGCCTCGCCCGCCAGTCCTCGGTGTGAGCCCCACCCGTCAGTCCTCGGTGTGAGCCCCGCTCGCCAGTCCTGTGAGAGCCGTCCGTCAGTCCTCGGTGTGAGCCTCGCCCGCCAGTCCTCGGTGTGAGCCCCGCCCGTCAGACCTCGGTATGAGCCCCGCCCGTCAGTCCTCGGTGTGAGCCCCGCCCGTCAGTCCTCGGTGTGAGCTCCGCCCGTCAGTCCTCGGTGTGAGCACCGCTCGCCAGTCCTCGGTGTGAGCCCCGTCCGTCAGTCCTCGGTGGCGGCCCGCGTCCCCCTGCGCCGTCTGGCGGTTCCGCGCACCTGTTTGTTGGCGAAGATGAGGAGGACGGCCTCGCGCAGCTCGTCCTCTGCCAGCATGCGCATCAGCTCCTCGCGCGCCTCACCCACCCGCTCGCGGTCGTTGCTGTCCACCACGAAGATCAGGCCCTGCGGAGAGCAGGGCGGAGGCACGCAGGTCAGACACGGACGACACACCACCGGCCGAGGGGAACATGCGCCCGGCTGCGGAGGCCGGCACTGCATTGGAAAATGACACTGTATGGTTGGATCGCTACTTTCTGCGCCAGGAAAGTCACCCCAAGGTTCACAAACTGGTTATGACATTAAGTGTGGGATCTGACAAAGAGCAGTGCTTTAAAACACCATCAGATTTAATAAAGAAAGCTCTAAATCGGTCGCGAGTTCCTAACGACGTCCTAACATGCACAAGTTTTACAAACTTCGGTCATGTCCAAGGCGTTTCCCTTCATTTTCTCTTTTATGGGGGGGGGGGGGGGGGGCAGTGTTCAGACTGCAAAACGTGCAGGCAGTGTTCCGTTGTGTAACTCCGGACTCAGCAGAGCGGCACCGGCCGCCGAAAGCCAGCCGAGGCCACAGCTCGAGGGGCGGCCGCCGGGGCCTCGCCCTCGGCCACCGACCTGCGTGTTCTGGAAGTAGTGCCTCCAGAGCGGCCGGATCTTGTCCTGACCACCGACGTCCCACACCGTGAAGCTGATGTTTTTGTATTCCACAGTTTCAACGTTAAAGCCTGCCAGCGACACACCAGGACTGTCAGACGGCGATAACAGTCGAATGTGGTGCACATGTCACCGACACTGGTCCGCCGGCAAAGTGCAGACGTGCAATGGGCTGGCCGACAGGCCACACAGATCTGACCTCATTATAGCAGGCTGCATGAGTACAGTTAATATGCGTGCATGCTTAATATGTCAGGTCTGCGGCCTTTGATCCTATGTAACCATGGGCTGTTCTACAATAAACATAACAAAGGCATGGAAGGCAGGTCTGACATTAACATTTCACCATGCATACCTTCTTAAAACAAATAAAGTCATACTATGATAGATGATACTCTAAGCCTTTTAATAATTCCCCTACGCAGCCTTCGGAATAGCAAAATCCGTACCTCTGTCACTTGTTTCACAACAGACTAAATTATCATGTGCGCAAGTGGCGATGTCTAAAAACCCTCAGCTATGCACAGTCTAAAAACTTACTGTCATGCCAAGACAACACATTGTGACTCTCTGCCAAAATGGCTTTGACCTCAAATAGTGGCAGATCTTCACTACATGCACACTTGACAGGCACACAGCCTCGCAGTAGTGAGTAGGCTGACACCATTCACCAGTCACACTTGTCACATCACAGGCATCTGCCTTTTGCACAACTGAATGGGTCAAAACACAGATGACCATCTTCCAACTTTTATCCTAGGGAATGGCATGTGTTTGGCAGCATGCTACTCACCTATTGTGGGGATGGTCGTGACGATTTCTCCTAGCTTAAGCTTGTACAGGATTGTGGTTTTACCAGCAGCATCCAGTCCAACCATCAATATCCGCATCTCCTTTTTACCGAACAGCCCCTTAAAAAGGGTGGCAAACATGTTCCCCATGATTGGTGTCTGCTCCTTGGCTGGTCTGCAAACAGGAAACAACAAACTTGTTACAGAATTACATGTTCTTGATGCATACATGATGATGATTTGGGCTTTACGGAACCAACTGACTGGATCATATGGTGCCCATTTCAGCAATATGTTAATGGCAACAACATGCAGTATATGTGGCAAAGCTCTATCAAAGTATGTCTGTTGGTGTCACTACACAGCATGGTATCACAATAACTCACAAATCAAAATATGATGAACATAAAAAGTGAGGCATAAGATATGAGTTAGAAAACATGATATCAACAGATGAATTACAGAGTAGCTTGTAAAATAAGTATCACTATTTGATGATCAAGTAGCTCAACATATTTGTTGAGTTTAATACAAATCCAAGTTTTCCCTTTTCTAATTCATCTTATAGTCAGGGTTTCCAAATGAACCTCCATAGCATCAGAGGGCATAATAATCTGTTTTAAACAGTTGCAGCATATTACATAGCAGAGATTCGCTACACAATGTTGGATGCTAATCCAGGAAGACATTATTACATGGATGGTAATAGCTTTCTGTTTTAATGATGCCCACATTCTATAGGCACTATTCTGTATCAATTATGTTATAATGATACACAACCCCCATACAACAGTTACAACAAAAGTAACTGATCTATATGTTAAACTAGCCCTGGTTGGTGTCATACATATGTCATATTACCATAATGTCTATCAATTGTATGTACTATCCCAGTGTTATGTTCTCACTGTGCCCCAAACAGCTATTTTACTGTTTGTAAGTTGCTGGCCTGCCATAAAACATTGAAAATGAATATTGTGCAGACTGTATATTTGAATGAAGTGTCAAAAATGAGATTCTTATAGCACCATGCTTAACTAGGCCTAAAATCCTACCCTAATAATGGTCCATGCAATACATGCTGCACAACTGGAACAAAACTATGACCTCATTTTTGTCTATAAACATTGCACTTTGAGGAGTGCTTAAAGTATCACATCTGGGTCACCAGTTTGTGAGGTTGCAGCAAAAGGTTTAAATGGAAGGGCATCCTAATGATTTCAGGCAGGGATTTTAGGAACAATATGAAGACAAAAATGGGAAAACCTGGGTTCAAACACAGACTAAATCATGAGGAACACAGGACCACCTGTTGTAGTTTCAGTTGGCTAGCAAAACAGGTTAGGTCATTCTTGATCTCTATGAGCTGAAAATAAATGGTGTATGATACACATACAGATTACATCATTAATAAATAGGCTGCAATCAAATGTGCATCCAAAATGAGTAAAATCAAGAAACATATGTTAACAAATCTGTCAAAAAGGTGATTGTGATTAAAAATAGGTTGCTCCCACAAGAAACAGTCTTAATATGATAGCTGATTGAGAGTTAAAGTCAGAGATGAAATGTGCACATAAACAAACAAAAGCTGTGGCACAGTCAGTGAAAGCATGCAGCTAAATAATAAACAGAGTGCTGCAGCAAAAACAAGTCTAGGCACCACACACCAGCATGCACTTCCAGAGATTGACTACTTGCACAGGAGAGCCTCTCCAAGTCAGCTGTCTTTTTTTCATTGGTGTTTTCGGGCACGTCAACTGAAGTGGTCACTTTGTGCCCACAGTGCAAGCTAGCTGTCATGCTTTGTACTATTGTATATGGATGCTTGTCTCTGAATGCTTTTGGGTAGACATACCCCATTAAGTTAAATTTGTGGGAGTGATATTAAGCATTTAGGCCAGCTGCAAGAACCAGGCCTTATAACTTTGCACACATGAAATGGAATGAATTTGCCTACAAATTCAAGTCTTTTCACACCTAACATAACAGTGAGTGTATTCACATGCAAATGTTCCTGGTTCTTCTCCCAGCCAGCTAGGAAAAGTCATCATTTACCAGGCAATGCCAGATCCACAAAACCAGGATTTATGTCAGAAAAGACATGCACACTGCAGACCCAGTTTTCACGACAAAATACAACACAGAATTACAATGCACAGCAATACCATTTTGTTCTCTGAGACATTGAACCATGACTGAATGATGATGACATTCCCCACCAGCGCTTGTAAGGTGCTATCCCACACCAGTCACCTCCTGACCAAGTATGATGACAATTTATGTCTTGTCCACATATTCATGGTCATGGTCATTCAGCAATGACTGAACATCTAATATATTTAAGACTTAGGGGAATGTCCCAGATTTGATAATAATGAGACAAGAAACTGATATGATGAAATAACTTAACATATGACCACTGGTATACTTTGATGATGAAGACTGTTCAGAAAACCCAACTTCTCTACCTGATAAATGAGCTCAATATGTCATTGCTTGATCAAGTAATCACATCTTGCACAAAAATGAAAGCCAATTAACAGCCATTATATCTGGAATTGTGCTCACAAACACCAGATGTAAAAGCCTTGACAAGTATATTTTTGTCAGCCTTGATTGCTGAATGGCCAACAGAATGGCAGGATTTGGTTTGATTTTAATTTAAATGACTCTATTAGGGCAACATGGATGCCCGGGAGACCTTAAAATGGCCTCCATGAAAAAGTCTGCCCATCTTCGTTGACATATAGCTCAGAAACTAAAAGGGGCCAGTCCTAAAAAAAGGCAGGGCCATGAAATGCACTGTGTGAAAGAAAGCTATTTCAGTTCAAAGCCCCATACAAATGTGGAGCATTGCCTTTCAGACCAGACTGCACAAAATATATGCTATGCTGAACATGTTCCAAAAAGCAGTGGCATCATGACAAATGTTCCAGCACATGTACACCACAAATCCGGGGGTTAAGGGTTTAGTGCACAGTCTCAACTAATTTAAATGCATAGAATCAATGTTCAGGGAATATGATGTTGCAAAGGTGATTTCTGGAAAGAACATATTCCAAAGTATTATTCACATAGAAACAATTTGAAACCTCAGTGTAATTTGTCTGGCCCCATTTCATGCACACAAGTGTGAGGTTCAATGCACCAAACTTCAGGTAAGCATCCAGTGCGCTCGCTAGGTTTTTATGGGTTGGAATAAAAATAACACTTGTCTTTTTTAAGTTGTTTCATTTTTTGACACCAGCAAATGATGTCACTGGAATAGGGTATAAACAATATGAGTTAATTTATGTTTTTTGGCCCACAATGCTTCATTTCGGCAAAAATATATGATGGAAAGAATTCAAAGCAATCTCTTTGAAAGAAACATGAAATGGTAGTGACCACCATTTACAACCACCAAAAGAACAGTGTGACAACACCCATATTGAAAAAAACATAGGAAAGCAATACAACAGGTAAAGCTTCTTGTTGCTTCTTTGACTGCTTCTCTGTGTGGTCTCCATGGGTTTAAAATAATAGTGCCCCTGAACTACAGAAAAACTGAGTGTTGTGTTAATCATTTGCACTAAGACTTGTGACAGCAGGGTGGGTGGAGATAACATAGATAACCATAGAGACCATAGATAAATCTAGCTCAGCATCATGCACTGAGGAGGGTCTTGCTATTAGATTCATCATTGGCAACCAGATGTAGCAGCTGTGAACTGCGCAGGACAGGCCTGCTTAATAACGAGGAAATACTTCCCACTGCTGCTACATAAACCTTTGATAGCACTGCAGCTTAATTCTCAGGTCACAGACAGGACTTTAGTCTTGTAAATAACTTCAGAGATGGTGGCTCATCAGAAGGAATTTTTAAACCAAACCTCAAGCATTTTTTTGCTGGAACTTATCACCTTTTTCTCAAAGTTTGGGGGGAGGTCAGAGCACCTCTAACTGAATAGCTCACGCTTCTCATCCCTGATTAAATACATCTTGGTCAGTAGAAACCTAGGTGGGCTCATGTGGCCTACTTATGTCCTTTAAGTGTCATAATATTACCTTAGTGTGTAGGTAGTTGCACTTATCATGTACCAGCTGTTCTTACTGGTAGTGCGGTGGTCTCCATAGCATTTCTATCACAACATTGCCAAGATGTGGTTTGGGGAATTATGCAAGAGATGTGCAATACTATAACCATTAGATTCTGGTTGCTCTGTAGTCTGCAAAACCTGCAATACATGTTGAAAGTAATATGTAAGGAAATGGTGGAATACAACTTTTTAGCAAAGCAAAAACTTTTAGAATTACAGGGTGCTGTTTTTCAACTGACATGGGCCTGACTTACTGACATCACTGAGACCATGTTATGCCAGAAACTCATAAAGCATGGTCCCATAGTGGCAGTTGTGACCACAGTGCAAATCAATTAGGGGCATATTGTTCTCATTGCAAGCTGTGACTAAACTACTGTCCTCGCTCACTTGGAGCTAAAGCCAAATTCAAGATACTGCTGCAGTAAGAAACATATAACTAAGAGGCAATTGGTTCCCATGTAACAAAACCAACCAAACATGTACTGCTTAAAAAGGTGTCAGGACCTGCAATTCTCCACTAGGTTTCCAGCAGCCAGAATGGCACTCAGCATTCACAAGAGGGGTCAGAGGAATTGCTTTGTCTGATTCCCATTCCACCTATCTTACATCCAGCTGAAAAATATGCATCTACTGCACCAGAGACCTAGATGACACATGCACACTGAACATGATCCCTGTGTGCACACAACCCAGACCAGGCCATTCACAGACTGGCCATATAGACCCAACCTCATGAGCCACTATAATGCCTCATCATTTATCAGCACTCAAATAAGCCTTTTGAGTGGCAAAAGAAATTGATGATATTAAAGCATCAGTATCACACCATTGGTGCAAAAGCAAATTGTTGGTATTGCCAGTATCACATTTTGATAGCTGAAGTTATGGTCTCATAACAATTTACATTTGCTGTCTGCTTCATTGATGCTCATTTAGGTGGTTTAATCCTGTAAGATGGTCCAGAAAGTGAGCCAGTACCTAGCTTTCTATCAGGTCAACATTGACCGTTGCTAATTGACAATCCTTTGCCAATCACAGCTCTCACCATGTCAATGATACACCTCAATTAGTGAGTTTCTCCCGCAACTTACAAACAAATCATGTCCAACAAAATGAAGCAATAATTATTGAAATGAATAGCCAATGACAGGTTCGAGAGCGCTGCAAACATACAAAACTGTGGCAGACATAACCAATTTCGCCAATGGCGATGACTCATGTTAAACCGGGGCCCGCGCCACGATAAGCACAACGCCTAAAACACAGTGCTTAGATCTCCTACCCAAGAACAAACGACGCCGGCGACTGAACAAGTGCCAATATACGGTAAGAAGTCAACTGAACTGAAAAATACCACGTACTTCAAGGCAGATCCGGCCACGCACCACACCGCGCCTTCCCACGGCCGACTGTTTTAGACCAAAATGGCGGAAGAGGACGACCGCCAGCTGATGAGTAACAGGGACTTTGGTTTGCCACGTGAAGGAAGACACGTTATTTGGAGAACACGATCAATTAAAATATTTCAGCGATTATAATACAGCTGAATCGATGTTTTTCTTAAAATTAGTACTTCAAGTGTGTTCACATTACGCTGAAAGCTAGCATAACGCTGACATGTTTCGCATTGTTGATCGAATTTTATAGGTGACGCTACTTCACAGTAATCTCCCGACCAGTTGCTACACGACTAGCGTAAACCGGTTTGTACTCGCCTGAATGTAAAAGTTTTAGTAAAAATTCTGCCGATAGATGTCAGACAGAGTGCAGTGCTTGGCGCGCGGGACGCGACTGGCCCGAGCGCGCTTCTCAAAAGTAAACAAGCCCCTGAACTTCCTTTGGGCAGCCTTTTTGGTGACGACCTTTTGAGCGCAGGTCGGGACATTTTTCACTGTTCAGCAAACCCCCTCAAACCCGTTTTGCGAAACTACGCTCATGTGTCATAGTTCTACCTGGATCCACATAAAGCCACATTAAACCCGGTGGGGCGGCTGACCTGGACATGCTACCTAGAGCCTGCCTACCTGTCTACCTACCTACCTACTAAGCTACCTTCTAAGGACCTAGCGGCCACCAGAGTGAGGGCAGCGCCACCAATTTTTGACAAGGTTGGGGACGAAGTCGCAAAACCATCACGACGATCGATACAAAAAATTGGATGAAAAAGCAAGCATTTAACTACTAGCTCTCTCATAACAAATCATGGCTCTGCAAACTCTGTATGTGCTCTGCGCTGCATCACCGTAAGGCGCTGAAACCAAGAAGCGTGGTAGGGACGTAGACCCATAAAGCTTCCTGAAAATCAAACTTTGCCCGTGGACGTTCACAGGAAAGGCATGATCTAAATGGCTGTCTCCCTCCCCCCCCCCCCCCCCAACTTCGAAGGACGTCATTTGCTCCAAGCCGGCAGGATCATCTTTTCATGGTACTTACTGTAGCTTCTTTTCAGCACATTCCGTACTATCATCTAAATCAGTTGGCCATTTAAGTGTATGAACGTTGTATGTCCAAAGGCAAAAGTTTCGCAGAGTGCTATTTCGTGTATTTTCACCCCGGAGCTACGCTGCAGCTGGGCCGCACCACGTAAAAAGTGTTTGCCGTCGAAAACTGTTGACAAAGAGTAAGTTTCGTCATTTGCCGTACGGCCTCAGCACCTGAGTGCGTCGTAAAGCCTCAAATTTCGTCATTTAGAACAGTGGCAATAAACGTATCCCAGAAGCACGCTGCTTGGGGACCAGCCAAAGAGCTCTCATCCTAATTCCAGGTCTACACCGCTACGGTTAATGGTAGAAGCCAAGTGCACCAAACGCTCTCTGACAGGAGAACCAATTTTGTCATCTAAAATTAATTTTCTAGTTTTTCATAGACTTACATGGTAAAAGCAATTATGGCGCGCCACATTGCGGATAACGCACATAAAGGGAGGGGTCGCATTTGCCACTTTTCATTTGCCACTGGCCAGGGTGTGGTTGCTCCCCTACCTTTCCGGGGGCGCTGCTCCTAGACGCCCCGGAGGGTTGGTAAGAACATGTGTACGCGTTGGCATGTGCATCCAGCTCTTGAGCCAGCATAATATTCTTGCCAGCATTAAAAGAGGAAAGAAACGGATGAAAGGGGTCTCTTTAGATTACATGAGCGACCCGTCTTTTTTAAGCCGTGCCCGGCTGGTGCGAGTAGGGAACATAAGTGGCTTCCTTCAAGATTTTTCAGCGCACGGTGAATATGAAACGATGCAATGCCCCAAAAAAAATTCAGCACCATTTCCTCAGACAGAAAGCTGACATCAACTTCGCGAGGCCAAATGTCAAATTTGCTTTGAAATTCTGCCAATTCGAACTAAATTCCTGCGAAATTGCTCGGTAGGTGTAGTACGTGTCGGTAATTGCCAAATTATCTAGTGTGAGCCTATTGGTTGAGGTGGCCACGTTCCTCTTGGTCAATAGATGCCTGGCGACGTCTCTGGCATCTCTTGATTTTGTTTTGCATGTTGTTGGTCATGTCAAGTGATCTAATTCCGGAAACAATTACTTTGTACTCGTATTTACTCACCTAGGGACTTGTCTTCTATTGAAATAGCTGTGCTTAACTGCTTAACTCTATCATTTTCATATGTTTCAGAACAGGGGCGGATCTAGCCTGGAGTTGTTTTTTTTTTGGGGGGGGGGGGGGCAACCGTTCAACGCCAGCTGGCTGGATTGGGATCCGAGGTCCAGTGCATGTGCCTCTCGCGAGTATCTAGAAGGGACACTATTCAAGCGCCGAAATGCTTTTGAATCTTAAACAGAAGTTAAAACTAAATAGTTACAGCTGTTAAAGTTAAAACAAACAGGATCCGTCTATGTTTCAAAAATCAAAAGAAATAAAACAAGCTAGGAATGTGTTTGATTTACAATGATTCAGAAAGCGCACATCAAGTCACTCCGGCTGGTTCCTGTCAGTCTGGTCATCTGCTGGCAGAACATCCGCTGGCAGAACATCCGCTGAAGCCATTCTGATATAAGTATTAAAACCATAAAATGTTCAAAATTTAAAAAAGGTACAACGGTAGATACATATGCATCACTTAGCAGGATGATACGTGATGATCACTGACGTAGAGCGTACAAAAATAGCAATGGCACCTGATAAATTAAGGATGTTCATGGAGGTACGCATACTGCTATGCCATATTAGTTTTTATCTTTCTTTAAAATGATGCATAATATGTATGGGTACGTATAAGTACTTAATATTAGTAACGTAATATACCAGCTTGATGATGTTTAAGTAGCCTCCTGATTCCACCCTACAATCTCGGTGCGGAGGCAGGGACGATATTGAATATGTTCGTACAGTATAGAGAACGCCGCCGAGCAGTCCTGGACGTCCTAGCAGCATCGTGCTAGTATTTATAGCAATGTAATTCTACCGATGCCAGGGAGCTTCTTTGTGGTAAAAAAATTGGGATACAGGCTCCTGAATGAAATTCTGTGTAACGAATATATCATATCCTCCAATAAAGTTGCTGGGAAGGGAGGGCTGCCTCCTCTTATCCGATAATTGGGAGAGGCGTACCGCCCCGCCTCCTCCCACTGGCACCGCCCCTGGTAGCACGTGCACTGCAATGCAACATAAGTTTTCACTGTTTCCGAAACAAATATCCATCGGCTGCAGGCCGTGGTGACTTAGTAACCTACTTATCAAGACGCTGGTCCAGATTCAATCTTCCATGAATCCAACACGTAAGGTATTGAATGTGTTCGTTCAGTTGGCGGGAACATCGCAGAGCGGTCTTTTGGAGTCCCAGTATCATGCTAGCTTTGTAGCAGTGCTATCCCATCAATGTGAAGTAGTTTTCATTATAGTAAAAATTGGGAATGTGGGCACCTTAGTGGAAATTTGTGTAAATCATATATTTTGCCCTGCAAAATGCTGTCAGAATATGGAACTGTCCTCCCCCTCCTATCCGGTGACAGAGCGGGACGTGTCCCCCGCCCTCGCCCCCACCCCCTCCGGTGGCGCCACCTTCCACAATGGCAATCTGGCTTCTAAAGGGGACATAAAGCCGCTTAGGTTCGTCTGGACCGTCAAAGCTCCTGCTGGACACTAGGGAAGGGGACCTCGGAACTACTTATAAGTCTTTGGATGCTTAGTGGTGGCAATGGTCGCTCAGCGAGCTATGTGCACTCAGCACCCCTCTGGCCATTTATGGGCTGTTTCAGCTGCTCAAGGTCTTTTTGTCTACCGGATGCCGTTGAGGAGCCCCTGGTCGGCAGCATTTCCCTCTGACTGCTCAGGTGCACGTCTGGCCTGCCTAGGCTCCTTCGGTCACCAATGGGCGCCACTGATTACTTAGGGGTCTTCCTGTTCACCTAAGCTCTCATCTGCACAGCGAGTTCACCGACCCGTTTGCTCTCTAGGGCCATTGAGCTATACACTCACAACCCACCGGACAGTCGGGTCCTGTTGGCTGCCCGGGGCCAGACCCTCTTGGCCGCTCAAATGCTCCATTTACGGCCCAGGAGCCATTCTGGCTGCTCGTGACACCCCCTGGCCGCCCTGATTCCCTCTGGACACCCAAGGCTGTGAACAGACGTCTGAAGCTCTCTGCCATATCGGGGCGTCCCCTGACCGCTCAGATTCCCTCTGGACACCCAGGGCTCTCAGTAAACATCTGAAGCTCTCTGCCATATCGGGGCGTCCCTGGCCGCTCTGATTCCCGTCTGGCCACTCAAGCGTCCCTCTGGCTGTTCAGGGCCATCTGGTCGTTGAGCAACCTGCTTGACAGCTTAGAGACCCCCAGCCCCATCACTATCATCACGCCGCCATCATCATCATCATCACATCATCCTCACTCACCACCATCTTTTCACCATCATTTCGACGCGCTCTTTTATATGGCTGCTCTTGGTCGCTCAAAAACCCCTCCCAATACACATGATTCCTTCTGGATTCTTGTGTTCCCGTCTTCATTCAGGTCAGGTCTGGGTGCCAAAAAATCCATTAAGTGTACAAAGCTCCATCCCTGGTCGGGGCTCTCTCTGGTCATTCCGGGGCCCTCTTAGATACTCAGGGACGTTTCTGGCTGCTGAGGGGGGGGGGGAGGGTACCCTAGCAGCTGAAAGTCTTTTGACTGTTGAAACGTCTTACACGCGCCCTGGGAAGCCACGGTTTGCTCAGAGGCTCTTTACGTTCCAAGAGCCCTTTATATCCACAAACCCTTTGGACATGCGTAGTCCTTTTAGCTGCATAGGGTCTGTCTCACCGAGAAAAGCCCCTTTGGCCACCAAGGAGCACCTCAGTTGCCTTCAAAGGGAATCATTTTTATACATGGTCCTGTTTATGTATGGCCCTGCTGAAAGGTACAGGAGTCCCTGTATGCATGCAGACGCCCCATCCCCCCTTCCCCCTCTCGTATAATGTGAAGGATGTTCTTGCAAACATGCATAGAGCTGTCGTGTGCCTTTTGTT